TGGTATGTCATAAGACACACTGGTTGCAAAAACAGTGAAGTAGGTTTGGGTGCATAGCAAAATGAATTGTGCAGTCGAACCTAATTGTACTGTCTATGAGCTGCTGCATTTTATAAAGGTCGAGTCATGATGAACGACTTGCGGCCAAATGTTAGTGCAAGTAAGGTCCATGATAGTTCATGTCACCGCATAATGTGGTAAATCCATAATCGTTCACCAAAATCGTCGATTTTAACATATTAATTTATATGTCTTGTCAGCAATACATGTATTCCTCATAGAGAAGGATGCCAAGATAGAATACATCAAACCAACTCCCTGTTGACTCCAAAACGACATGGAGGACAGGGTTTTTACCACCAATTTAAGTAGAGTTAACGCTAGCTGGAGGATATTTGTATCTGGAGTCCCACAAAGAACCACAGTTGGCATATGGAATTATGGTCTAATTCAGCATCAAGATATTTATTTTTTTATTATATTAATAGACATAATCCCAAAATTGTAGATTTCTCATTATGTGACTACCTAACAAATGTGATCTTATGTGGAAGTCACAGCGTGGCCTATACTGACTCATCCAACTTGACAGTCGGCGACATGATGTTTAGTACTTCTTACCTACTGACATACTAGTATTTTTAACAGATATAAGTAACCTATTCCTATATTGCTTTTTAACATCTAAATTTACCTGCTATTTAAACTGTTCCGTACAATCAGAGCGTTTGATTAATAAATTAACTGACTTGTTAAAACAAATGTCCTCTTGTAACTCTTCTGCATTCAAACTCAGTTTTTGTTATTTGTCACACTGTAAACAATCAAGCTTCTGTCCAGTAGTGTGATGGCTGTTGGAATCCGGAAACTTTACGGCCGCAAGACAAACGTACTCACTCAAGCTACAGTATTTACGAATCCACAAACAACTAAAAATTTGATTAGAATTGGTTAGGTCGAGTAGCTAGACTATAACACACTGGACACTATCAAACACCTGGAACCGCACCGAAACAACATGAAGTGAACGCAAAAATATCAGTCGGTTTACACAAGTTGCTGACAAAGACAGTTCATATTGTATTCCATTATCATATTCAGTCAGTCAGTGAGCTACAACGCAGGACCAGGCACATATATGCATCAGTCCAAGTTGCCATAAAATGAACAGCAAATTCATAGAAGTAGTTAATATAATGGTGGTAGTACATAAAAGAAAGATTGTATATAAGGATATAGTACAGGAGGAAAGAAAGTTATGAAGCAATATTAATCTCAAGGTTTAAGGAAGACGAGTGTATACAACTACGCTATTGTGATCGATTCTTAGCCATGTCACCCAGAGTCTCCAACAATTGGTTATGATAGGCACACGGACCCCAACCAAGTAGTCTGCATCTACCAACATGGTTCAGACCAGAAGTTAGTGACTTCAAGCACTGATGCCACTTTTTGGTTTGGCCGCCCCTAACTTTCTCTCAACCACCCCCAGCACTCGTCAATATTGTACGCCGTGGTAATTGGTGTTCAGGCATACGTAACATGTGGCCCAACCATCACAGTCGATGGAGATTCACAGCCTCATAAGCTGACTTATCATCTTTTACTAATACCCTGCGTCTAACCTCATTATTAATTACCTGGTGATCCCAGCAGATGCGAGCAACATTTTTAAGACATCTGTGGTCAAATACTAGTAACTTACGAGTATCTTCTACGCTTAATGGTCACGTTTCGCAGCCGTAAAGTAGGACAGAACGAACTGCCGCATAGTATACTCGTCCCTTAATTGATAGACGGATTCCTCGCCTTCGTCATAAGTGATGTAGTTTGGCAGAAGTCAAACGAGCTTTTTGAATCTGTGCACAGATTTCGTCGGACACCAACCGATTAAGGCTGATTAGAATTTCAAGGTAAGTGAAGTTGTCGACTCGTTCGACTCTCTCTGACGCAGGCCAGTCCTCATGCTAAAACCTGCATTTAGAGGGGGAGAAACACATCCCAGACAAACTGGCGTTGTTGCTTGGTGCTACCAAAAGACTGTATTTAATCAGCATTTTCACCAAACAGGACTATATCATCTGCGTAGTCGAAGTCGATAAGCTGACTTCCTGGTAGAAAATCAATTCCTGATAATTCAGACGACGAGAACATTATTTCCAGCAGTGGGTCTGTGATTAAATCAAACAAAAATGGAGATAGTGGTCAATCTTGACGGACACCACCTGAGGTTGCGAAATCAGATGACAGTTTGCCATAAGCTCTCATTCGACTAGTAGTGTTCGAGTAAAGAACCTTCACAAGGTTTATGTACTTCCTAGGTACACCTTTCAATGACAGACACTGCCACAGAATCTCTTAGTTTACAAGGTCTAATGCTGCTTTTAAGTCGCTGAAATTATCGTATCGAAGAGGCCAGAAAACTTTGTTAGACTACACAGCACTTACTTACTTACGTACTCCTGTTACTCCCAATGAAGCGTAGGCTGCCGACCAGCATTATTCAACCCATTCTGTCCTGAGCCTTCTTTTCTAGTTCTATCCAGTTTTTGTTCACTCTTCCCATGTCTGTCTCAATTTCTCGGCGTATTGTGTTCTTTAGTCTTCCTCTTCTACTTTGGCCTTGAGCATTCCATTTGAATGCTTGCCTTGCGACACAGTTGGCTGCTTTCTTCCATGTGTGTCTTATCCACTTCCAGCAATTCTTTCTAATTTCTTCCTGCGCTGGAATCTGATTTGTTCTCTTTCACATTAGGTTGTTGCTGATTGTGTCTGACCAACGGATCCGAAGTATTTTGCGTAGACAACTGTTAATAAACACTTGTATCTTCTGGATAATGGCTTTCGTAGTTTTTCACGTCTCCGCCCCATTCAGTAGAACTGTCTTGACATTTGTATTGAAAATTCTAATCTTGGTGCTGGTTGACAACTGTTTTGAGTTCCAGATGTTCTTCAGTTGTAAATATGCTGCTCTTGTTTTGCCGATTTACGTCTTCACATCTGCATCAGATCCACTATGCTGATCAATGATGTTGCCTAGATATGTAAAGGTTTCCACATCCTCCAAAGCTTCCCCGTCAAGTGTAATTCGATTGATGCATGTTGTGTTGTTTCGGAGAATCTTACTTGCATCACATTATTATACTGTAAATCTTTAACGTGAGCGTTGCAGTGTTATGTGACCAAATAACATTGACTCAGTCTTGTTACTTATATCATAGTTTGTCTTTATCAATATAGATAGTTATATGGATAGTTAACAGTTAGACCATAATTTATGGACAAACCAATGAGATCTGTGATACCAAGCCTTGGGTTTTGGCGCATAATTCATTCGTCGATATGGCGTGCGGGCGAATTGACGATACCAGTGTTTAATATTGACCACGTGCACGTTTATTCATCTCATGAATTCCTTGTATATTAATATAACGGCTAAACACAATGCTTTAGATTTTTGTAACAGGTAATTACGTAAGAAGAACGCTCAACAACTCAAATCATCAGTAAGCTTGGCGATAGTTTGTATTACTTAACACTACAAATCTTGTTAGTAGTCACCCTAATATATCTTAATGGGGTATAATATATGTATGATGTAATGTTTTCGCGAGATTTGTAAGCTGGTGTATTACTTTTATTTTATTATGACTAGACAGACGTTCGTTGTTTGACTAGTTTTACAATACAGATAGTTATTTAATTTCATGACAGTATAAACCTCTGCAGATGTGTGTAGCTATCAGTCAGAGTGGATACTTACCACTTTATGATATCTTTGCGTGCAGTGGATTATTATTCTTCGATCGTTTTCTCTGGTCTTATTCTTTACTAACTTTATATTCATCTTAGTGATTTTATGTCGCTCTTCTGATATGATGAAGCAACAGCTGAATGCACATGTGATAGCCCATTTCCCCTCTTTTGGGAAAGCCGTTATAAAATTGTTCCGGAGAATGACACAAAAAACCCCAAACTTTGTGGGAAACCCCAAAATCCCTCAAAATCGGGAGACTGGGAGGTCTCCACGTTACTGATGACTGACCGAACCTAACACCTTTGATCGTCTTCTTACCTATGATTCTCAATTCGTAGATAGTATTTATGATATATATACAAAAGCACATCGAAGTAATTTTTGTAAATTTCACGTGAGATTTCAAAGAAAAGCTGGTATCAAGATTGAAAACTCTTGATTCAGGGATATACGTCTTTCAGTGAGACTATAATTCATGAACGACCCTTGAGCGTCGCTTAAAAGACCTTGGTAATTCTCTTCTACATACTACAGCTAAATGAGGGTTATAAACCAGCGTGAGGAATCAGTAATCATATTTACAGTTGATAGTTAGGTTTAGGGACTAGATTTAAAACTTTGATCACGAACTATAATGCCAAAACTATTTAGCCAAGTGAATGCATTGATTTCGCGTCAAAGACATGTTATCGTAAGTCTGACTGGTTCGTCCGTAAATTGTAGTCTCGCCGACAATTGCAAGATGCAAGGGGGAATACTAGAACTGAAGATCAAGTGGTCGATAATAACTGAATATATCTGCGCCATTATGTGAGATTCAGTGTGTTATGCTATTGTATTCTATTTCCCAAGTTTTTCGTGTGAGCTTTGTTATTACAGATTCATTTTATGGTGATAAATGATATCACAGTTTTCACATAAGTCAGGGATAACTACTACTGGCCCCATTGTTTCTGTGTGGCGCATATGTATTTGGTGCCCCCTCGTACCAATTTTTATTTGTTCAAATAGGTAAACAAATAAGTATTGTTATCTACAGAGGGCCAATTTATTCTAACTCATAGTTCGCTCAGCCTTTTCTCAAGGTTTCACATAATGTATTCGTTTAACCAACTATAATAAATAATATCCTTTATAATGATTTTGTTCAGTTACCATTTAATTTAAAAAGACTCACCAGTAAGTCTTATCATTTATGTAATATATACTTGACAACCCAATATATCATTAGAAAGTATTCAATATGAAAAGAATTCGGCTATCTTTTCCAGCAATTACTCATACAACAAGTGTACCAGTGATGACAGCATTCTGTTCTCATCGTCCTGTCTATTTATTCCTCGGACGAAGTTTGAACACGGCATCTACTTTAATTCGACCTCATTTAACAGATAAACATCGTGGAGTAAGTGAATAATACTTAATTGATAGTCTTTAGATAATTGAGTCATGCTGCACCATTGAATTTACGGCCGATCGGCTAAGCTATGCGTCTTTGTGCTTGGATCCTGAAAATAAAAATTCAGTTATCCTTTCCAGTTGGAACAGCCTGCCACTCAATTTGCCTTCTGGAAAGGAATTCAGACCTTATATGTGTTCCTCCATGGTAGTTAAAGACTTTTTTCCTGTTTGAGTAATCTAGTTCTTAGTTCTTGGATAATGATAATATGTAAACTTTTCAAAAGCCTCATTCTTGGAATTATTTTCTGGAAATAATGTATATTACGGATTTTCAGTAGCAAAATCTGATGTATTTAAGTTCGTTGTTATCTAGGTCAAATCTAATGAAACAAAACAGTACTTATACTGTCTACCTCGAAAACACCCCAGCTTCTGTTACACTTAAGAAATTTTCCTGATTTTGATCTATATGCGGTTTATATTTACGTTAATTGGTCATTATTAGTTCCGAATTACCTATGAATTTTCCATTCTGTTAGTTGCGTGCATATTCTTGGACCATTATTCTTATTCGGAGCGAAGTATAAGGTGCATAGATCAGAAAAACCAAACTATACTATCTTGAATAACTTGAGTTCTAAATAACGACTACCGTATACGAACATACCATGGGTATGACATGTCTAAAAGTAGACAATATTTGGGAGCCATTAGTTTCATTCAGAATTTAGATGTCTTTAGGATTTGCCTTGAAGTTCTCATAAAACGTAACCAGAAAATTAATTCTGCTCAGTGACTTTGTACTAAACGATTTTCTCTGTTTAGGAACTGGAATACAAAATTTGGTTCAACTAGTAATTTACCAAACACTTGTAACAGATCTTTACTAATTACAAGGATCAGGTTCAATAATTTACTTCGGAAATCATAGTAAAGTGCGGCAAAACAATTCATCAAAGCGTATTTAAAAATATTCGTTTATTCTAAAATCTGACAGAGTTATATCTGTTGTATGCACTATAATAATGAACTTTTCGAACTAAATTAAATACAACAGACTTTCACCTATAACTAAGTAGTTAAGTTCATTGCCCATATTAGTGATCTAAAGTCCCAAGTATGAATTACTTTTACAAAAATTATTGTAGCTGGGGTTTATTTCCACTACCGATTACGCCCTACTGAATTTAACCGAAAATTTCATATCTACAACAATATTGATATGCCAATCTGTCTCTTTAAGTAAATGTATAAATGTTGGTACAGCTTTCCAGATAATGAAATGTTTACAATAAAATTGTGAAACCAATAAACTAAAAAAAATTAACGATTTCTGATTGTTGTACTTATCAATGACTCATAATTTTGTTTTTACCGACTTTGAAGTCGTCAAAATCACTCCTCACCCAGTTTCCTTTGGATTTACTTCAAGAAGAAGTATCCTCTCAGAGTATAAGCAACCGGTAAGTGATAAACACCCTCATATCTTTAACAGCACTGAAGGTCACTTCGTTCAAAATGCAGTGTAGGTAATAAAACTTAATAATCACCACACATGCTGCTTAGTATTTATATTATTTTGTCGTTCTTATATGAACACAAAATTAAAAACTCCTTTGGAAATTCGGTATTCTAATACTTGCAATTTTAAATAAATACCTCATTCATCACCTAGGTGTCCTAATCTTGTTCTGTTGATGTAATTATTTAAATTGAACAACAAGTAATTTGTTATCGAATTAGTAGACACTAACGCTGAAAATCGTCTGTAAATATTAGTCAAATTAGTGATGCTTTGGTAGGACCGAGAGTGGGGAGAGTTAGCTCTCCCTCTCGAAACGCTCTCACATGGCCACGTGCATACAACCACTGCCATGGAAGTCCTACTCACTACCTTCGCGGGGCGGGGTGTTGCTCTAACCGGGTTGATGGACACAGAGAGTCCATTAAGGGGAATCGGAAAACCCTGATTCCAAACCAATGGTGTAAATAGGTTCCAGTATTCTGGTGGAACAAATGGCGTATGAACCAATCGTTGGTCACTGGCTACCATGGGGCTGCATCTCCTGACGTTGCTCCACTGCATTATGGATTAGACCTTTAGTTCAAAGGCTCCGGGTGTGAACCCCCACGGAAACCACCTGCTTCGGTCTGGGCACTTGGGCAGTATTCCAGCTCTCACACAAGTCGAATGATTTATGTGGCGCATATCTATTTGGTGCCTCCTTGTACCGATGTTTATGTGTTTAGCTAAATAAAGGTATTAAACATAAAGTGTGTATAGAAGGGGGATTGCTTGTTGACTAAATGTAAATTATTCAGTTTATCAGTGCAAACACCTGTCAGTTATCGATAGTAATTGTCATAACTTCTCTTATTACGACCCAGCTACTCCTATTGCTTAGTATTCTTGGGCACTAATTCACTCGACAAGTCCCCAAATCAGCACACGGTTTAACAGGAACATAATTATGTTCCAAATAACAAAAAGAAATGGAGGTAGGAATTACAATAAGAAAAACGTTAGTATTATAAGCAAAGATGGATAGTGACTAGCAGTGGAATCCAGTTTGACGGGTGTTTCTTTCTATTTTGGGTCTCGTCAGTTGGATGTAATTGCACCTCAGGGTTGATGTTGACCCTGGGACTCGAACCCGGTACCTTTCGCTTCAAACGCAATGACGTTATCCATTCAGCTACTGAGTTCGGATCGTCACTTGCTTGTGCAATTGCAGTCCTAAACATCAATGGAAGATTCAAACAAACAATACTAAGTGAATTTAAACTTCACCCCATTGCACAAGCATATGGCTATCCGGACTCAATAGCTGAATGGATAACGTCATTGCGTTTGAAGCGAAAGGTACCGGGTTCGAGTCCCAGGGTGAACATCAACTCTGAGATGCAGGTACATCCAGCTGACGAGTTCCAAAATCGAACGAAACGCCCATCAAACTGGATTCCACTGCTAGTCACTATCCATCTTTGCTTATAATGCTTGTGAGTTAAGTCTATATCAAGGCAATTCGCTTAGTATGCATATATGCCAATAAGAGACTGACCAGTTGCAGTCCTAAACATCAATTGGAAGATTCAAACAAAAAATACTAAGTGAAATTAAAACGTTAGTATATTTATAGTTTTTACATGAGAAGATTCTATGCTCTTCTCCAAGTATCCATTAGCGCTGATTTTATAAGAAATAGTCAATCAGCGTACCCCAACACGATCATGAACGAAACGTGCTTTCATCCAATCTACATTCCGCTAACAGTAATACAAATCGATGGTCAGCTAAAAGTTTCCGTATTAAGCTTTCAATCACACTTATTGTTCAGAAGCTAAGTAGACTATTCGTCTGCACAAATTAACTCAAATAGACCGATATTTGAAATTACGAGTTATGTTGGGCGCTGTGACCGTCGAGCCACAGCTTTATATCTATTCACGTTCATTTTAAATTAAAATTCTAAACTTTGAGGATGATTTTTCATGGAATTTTGTTTCTAAAAATATTAAGATTTGCTCCTACCCGATTTTAATTTTTTCCAAGTACAATGAAAAAAGTGATAACTAAGTAACTTAACTCACTTTATTTCTAGTCGTAGTTTAGTTGGATGACGGCTAAATGTACCTAAGACAATGAAGCGGGGTTAGAACATGCGGCCTATTTGTTGAAAGCGTACTTTGATCTGACATCCTTTTAAGATATAATACTGGGCTACTAGATATGTTGAATATGTAGATAAGTTGGATATAGCTAGCTGGATATCTTTTGCTTTTAATTTACTCTATGCTTCAAGTGGTGGTTATTGCCATTATCTATGCTACTGACAGTATTATTATATATAATACCTAACATCCATCTGTAAGTCACATCTATTTACTATGTAACATTCATTCACACATCATAGGTACTCAAACTTTAGTTGATGAAATATGGTATAGATTAGTGACTCTGATTGAAAATAATTTTTTTTAGTGCGATTAACCACAGTTCTATATTTCAAGTGAATAAAGCATCCCTTTGTGACCTGAGTAGAGTTGAAATTTTTTATATTCTCTTCTGTGGGTTTCTTGTTGTATCAGAATTATTTTCGAATTTTCTACCATATAGTTCAAAGCTATCACTCAACATCTGGTACGTGATATTTGCTCATCTGAAAAATTGACCAGTGGTCAATTCGCCTTAGTGTATGTATCTTCTAAATTATCTTCAGCCTCATTGGTACGTGCAGGTTTTATGGGCTACCTTATTGGATACTTGTGTACAGAGTCCATTAAACAAGAATTTTTACCTCCATCCAACCTTCCCATTTTCACCATGAATCATTCTTATCGAAAACATATTCTCTCATCATGGAGATCTAAGTTTGTGAGCCGTAATCCAGAATGTTTAATTCGTGGTATTGAAGATCTGTTTACCACACTACCTAAGCTTTCGTTTGCTAACAGCAACTCCATAGCCACTTATACGAATATTTTTCTCAATATAGATGGCAATCTATCAAATCCCAGTGTACTTATTCCTAATGAAAATCAAAATATTACCTACAATCAACTTAGTCTTGCTAATGTTCTTGTAGACGGATATGGTTTTCTTGTCCATGGAATAATGGGTAATAAATTTGCATCTTTAGAACTGCTCCAACCTTCATATTCGTCTTAGTGCTCAATGAAAAGGTAAATATCTAGCAATCTTTTAAAAAGTAACTTCTGATATGAACTATAGCTGGTTACTTTTTAGTTTTCGATATAGAACCGTGCGATGCTAGTTAGTGCTTATATTTACAGCAACGCTTTAAGCGAAATACCTAATGCAATTTATTTTTACAAATTAATTTCAACGACCACTTGTACTGCAAAAAATTAATTAAAATATCAGAAAACTATCTTGTTCTATAGAGTCCATATTCTCCATTCTTTGGATACTTGCAGATTAAATTGCATTGACAAATAAGTTAATTAAATATTAAGCTTATTAGAATACCGTAGATTGAAAGATCTAAGCAATTCTAAGTCAACTAATATGTTGGGCACCTCAATTTCTCAGATTAGTAAGTGACCTATGAATCCAATACCTTATGACTATTTACGTTTAGTCTATGCAATTTGACATCTAATACACTGGTTTAATGGTAGGTACGCTGAGGCAACCACCAAGAAGCTCTGGATTTGAATCCCATAGGAAGTTGTTATAATTGTATTTTTGCTAATAAACGACCCAGCTATTCCTATTGCTTAGTATTCTTATACGATGACACTCGACAAGACCCCAAAATCAGAACACTTTGAACAGGAATGAAATTGTATTCAAAATAATAATGGTATGTGAACAGCAATCACTGACTTAAATAACGTTCGTATATTTATAGTACATGCATAAGAAGCTTCTAGATTTTTGTCCAATAATTTGTCCGGGCTGATTAGTTTAGAATGAGCCAATCAGCGCACAGCAACACCATCATGCATGAAACATGCTTTAATCCAATCTATGTCCCGCTAACAGAAGTATAATTAGTCCCCTCAAGATTGTTGTTGAAAGTCGATCAATACAGAACTAAAACTTTTTATTGGTTTCTTTCAATCACTTAACTTCAATAACCATTGGATGATTAAACACCTGATATTGTATCACTTTATCACCTTTCATCTACTATCATCTCTCTCATTTGTTTATTTACTTTTTAGGCATCTAATTGTTCTAATATAATTAGAAACAACATTCTATGTAGTAACTATCTTGGAGCAAATACTGATGTTATTCTCCGGCCTATCTCACCATTATCAACTTCTTCATTTACTACAATCCATAACTTAGATATTCGTAAAGTTCATCAAGCTGTAATAATGGGTTATCTTTTAGCATTCTTATCATCCAATATTAACAATACACCAACAAGTAAATTATGTATATCAATCAATTGTCCAGCAATAGAAACTTTGATAAAATGGACTAATCAACCAACTAATCGTTGGACAACTTATTTAAGTCATCAAATGTTTAAAAATCAATCCAATATTACATTCTCTCTCCTTCCTGTGAAATCTAATCATTTAACAAAAGCAAATATATCAACCCCTATAAAAACTATACCTAATAATAATGATTCATCAGAAATTATTCAAATGCATGTAGAATCTTCACAGTTGTTTTCAATTTATAAATGTCCCAATTCTAAAAATCATGAACATATTAATACTGTACAGATTTTACTAGCTCGATGTTTGTTTACATGCATGTATCATTTGTTAAAGGATAGGTACTCGATGATGGTTTAAAGTCACTATTATTATTTTTTGTATTTATTATTACCTGTTTTTTTTTTACATAAGATTGAGTTTTGCTATATGGCAAGAAATGTGTATTTAAAAAGTGCCTAAATTTTGCTCTGTCTTCATTGTGAAATGAAATTGATTATTCTTATAGGATGTTTTACACCGATCGACTGGTTGATAAACAATCCTAAACTAATCACGTGACTTCGTTCGTAAGGTATGATACATCGGACGGTCTTGATCAATTAGATAGTGATTGACCTACAAACTGACTTCTATTATGATGCCTAAATATGTCTATTTTTTATTCAGTATTTTATACGTAAGCTTGTTATTGTACATCAGAAAAATATATTTTGAATAGTGATCTTTTTTTAATCTCAAAACATTCAGGTTATTGTGTCAGTGATTCGGTCTCATAAGCAGTCATTATCCGACTACATAGTATCATTGCACATCATCATCAGCATTGTTTTTCGTTTTAACAATTGAAGATTCGTTCATAAATGCTACTAATTGGAAAGGAACTGTCAAAATTATTTTATATACAAGCTCTGGATTTTTTGTAGTGTTTAAGGTTTAAAACATGAGTTCATGTCTTTGAGTCATACTTCCATGTTTTCTCGTCATTTCTGGATGCGTGTTCTTAGATACACTTTAGTTGAGACCGTCTGTCAGTGTAAAATACCAGTACGCATTCACGTTATTCCCTAATGAGCTGGTGGTAAAGGTTTCAGCTATAAAATTTTAATAGATGTTCAATTTCACAGTAATATATGTAATTACTTTCAGTAGGTGAACATACATCTTTGACATATACCTATCGCAAAAGAAATGAAAACTTCGTTGGGATTGCAGTGTCGTAGAAAAATGAAAAAGTTACGGCTCTGGTGTATGAATACTGCAAGTCCACTTAAGGAGTTGAAAAATCCTGATTTTCCAAGCCAATGGTCCAAATGGATTCTGAAAACTTAAGGGAATGAATTACTACCATGCACCTAGGTCTTTTGACATCGCTTCACTGCCCTATGGTTTAAACGTTTGGCTTAAAGACTGATTTCGTAAGAACGATGATCACCTCAATGTAGGCCTAAATCTTCGAGTCTTTAAAAAGCCAAACAACATTCTGTCCATATTTTCGATGTTCTGACAAAGTAGATTACCTTGTTATGCTTAGACGCTTAAAGTTTCTGATGGTATGTCAAGATAATTGCAAACCTTTTGTAAGCGGTCCTTAACAAACAAGTTTAGTACAGACATCTATTCAACAAATGAATCTTAGTCGTGAGGTCATGGAAAACAGCCTTCAAAATAAGCCAACCTTTCACATTCCTTAAGGGGCTAAAAACTCAAAAACAACTTGATATGAATTAGCGAAAGTGGAAATGTGGAATTTGAGTAGTTCTAAAACCATGACTAGTAGTGTTCGACCATGCCAAGTGTTAGGCAGTTATCCACAAATAGCACCACGGGTTGATCGGAATTACGAACCACCGGATGCAAACTCAATAACCTAGGAGACTTTCTTCCCAGGAGAACCTGAATGCCTTAGGTTCAATCCCTGAGGTGGTGTTGGGTCCGTACTGATGAGGAATTCCATGCTAAAATGAGAGCTATCTAGTGCTTTCTATTTATCAGTGGTCATTTAAATTCAGTTCGTTATGTAAGTTATGAATAACAATTATTTCTGGCTATTTTATGTAGTCCTGAATAAAAGCCCTGTATTGATCCAACGATCATTGAATTACTAACATTTTGCTCAGTGTCATACCATGAACGTTTCAGTTATGAGTAGTGCAGTTTTCTTTCACTCTTCAAGACAGGAAAAATAAATTTTCCACCACAACCTACTTCTCGGTGTTATATCAATTAAAACTAGTCCATGATAAAAACTTTCCTATGTATTTAATTATTACATAGAATCAAGTATATTTTGCCTCGAAATATCTCAAAAATGATCAGGTCAGACCCTCTGATTGCAGTATACTGAATTAAATCAAACTATCCATTGATTCAGTGACTTAATCATATGGATTATTATGTAGATCGGCTATTCTTACAGCAAAATATCAGTCTAATAAACAAGCCTATCTTGATCAAATCCAAAATAATGATAGTTGTAAATATGAGGTAAATACGTATCTTAAAGACGTTCAGCGTAAGTGAATATTTCACTAGAAATAAACACCGTAAGTTGAAAGTTGATAACTTTTAAATCCATATATCAGTTAAAGTTGTACATTGATAACGAATAAAAGCAAACTAGAATGTTACTTTTTTACCATTATATTTAATGTAATCAACTGAGGTGCGGGATTACCAGTGAACAAGCCGTACAGTTATCTCTTAAGCAATATATATATATATATATATATATATATATGTTTCTGGACCAAAGTGATGAAAGAGTTCGAGTCATTGGACATCAGGAGGTAGTATAGAAATGGAGCTAACGAAGCCAAATCAAAATCAAATGGCTTACCATCGGAAAGCAAAGTCAACCTTAATGTAAAATAAATAAACCTTGAATTTTAAATTTCTTAAAAGATCCATTTATAACAGAACAAAAATACTACAGTGGAAAGTAATAAAACAAATAAAAGCAATAAAATTCAGTTAAAATCTATCGCGAAAAGTGGGTTGTAAAATGAATAAGAGAAGGGTTGGATTTAAGTTAAACGAAGTGATGCAATCGTCATTACGTAACATCAAAATAAAAAACGATTAATAGACTTTCTATACTAAACATGCTAAAATACTTCTAGCAATAGTACATGGTAGACGTAAATAAAACAGTAAGCAAATCAACTACGAGATATTACATATTATTGAATCTAATCAGACTCTGATTTATGATGTTCCAATGAATAATAGTCTTATTGTAATAAAAGCCTGTTTCGTGTTAGTCTGATACTCCCTAATTTTTTATGATTTTCAGTGATTGAACGAGATTATTCCGTGATGTAACCGACGACATCCTACCATAAGAATTGATTCATTTTTCTCTGTAAATACTGGGACTTTCTAGATATTGAGTAAGTTGGAGGCTATTAATTTAATTACAAACTACTAGTTATTTTGTGGAATAGTCTTCTCTGTTGATATAATTCTTATGGATTGCTGGATGGGTTTAACCTTGATTGATTTTAATATCTGTCACTGTTATATCTACTGAATGATCAACTGACTTGTAGTTGGTACTGAAACCCCAAATCCAACAATGCATAGTGAGAACACAAATTTGGTGATATGGATTTACTTAACTCCCAAAATAAATAAAAACGACATATAAATATAACACTTTTTATATAACCTTTTGATATCCAGACTGACAGTCAGATTTATGCAATTTGAAGTCTACAGTATTTAACAATAATTAAGTCAATAAGTTACATATACGATATTATACAATTAAGCATCTATAACCAACAGACACAACGAATTGACTAAGTCAAATGAATTACTTCTCAGTTTGTGATTACATGTAACAGACAATTAATTTTATAAATCGACTGCACTCCAATAAATTAATCCGTTGCTCGTCGTAAGAAGAGTATTCTAACGGGAAAAAAATAACACAACTTAATACAGTTATAGTATAGAGCATAGAGTTTCACTTTGAAAATCTTGGAAAATCAATATATTTTAGTCGGGGAATTACAAACCTACCTTCATTATATAAAGTTTCATGGAATACGTTGTCAAGATTGAATTATTCATTCATGGGAAATAGTGCATAAACTCTTACCATTTTTAAATTAAAATCACGAACCGATCTAAGTTAGACCCCTATTGAAAACCTTGGAGCATTGGACGGCTGTTCCGTCCTGACGTGGGATTTTTCAGCAGTGAGCATTCACAACTCTACGCTGGAATCAAGATCACTACCCTCAGTTTCGCTTGTGAACATCTAACCTCTAGACCACTTAACAGACATTATTATTTATTTATTTAAACACATAAATATTGGTACAAGGAAGCACCAGATAAATATGCGCCTCACAAATCTCATTTGATTTGTGTGAGGGCTGTGATACTGCCCAGGTGCTCAAACTGAGGCAGGTGGTTTTCTTAGGGGACCACACCCGGAGCCTTTGACCTAGTCTAGTCCACAAGGCAGTGAAGCAACGTCAGGAGATGCAGTCCCATGGTAGCCGGTCACCAACGATTGGTTCGTACGCCATTTGTTCCATCAGGATACTGGAGCCCATGTGCACCATTGGTTTGGAATCAGGGTTTTCCAACTCCCCTAGGTGGACTTTCCGTATCCATCAACCCGGTTAAAGCGCCGGACATTCGCTTTTCGTCCTCTCGATTTCGTAAACAACACCCCCGCCACGAGAAGGCAGTGAGTAGGACTTCCCTGGCAGAGGCTATATATTCGCGTGGCCATATAAGAGCATTTCGAGAGGGAGAGCGGACTCTCTCCACTCTCTGACGTACCAGAGCATTTGGGGGCATCCAATGATGTTATGGTATAACTTCCATCAATTTATTTTATAGTTATATATGGTCATCATTTAACGTTTGTTAATATTGCGCTCACTTCTCGTTTACTGCTTTTAATCTTATTTTAATTTCCCACCTACTCACCGATCAGTTTTCATTTTCCACTTATTGTTCTTACTTCTCTTAATATGTATCCTTTCATTTTTAATAACTAGATAGATACTTTTCTAGTGTGATATTCGCATATAGATACTAATATATATCGGAATTTCTCTGTTAATAATAAACCCATAACTTAAGTTTATGTGAACTGAATGAAGATACACACAAGTATGAATTAATTATTGTAATGTAGTATTTCTAACATGTGAATTGGACACAATAGGATTTTGTATGTTGTGGTTCAGTGAAATAAAATGAATTCTTTTTTTAATGTCACTTTCATTACCGATCACAGTTTTGTTCGTTTGATATTTTTTTTTTGACAACCAATCACTCTACACTTGTTGTTAATTTACTGTTGCCAGCAAATACATCTTGTCATTCGTTTTCGCAAGGTTAATGATACTACCTGATCGTTACTACCAACGGCCAAGATATCCAGGATCACGGAGTCCAGTGGACTTCTTTTGAACAAATAAACCTCACCTCAATGGCCCCTTTGAGAGATTGACCATTAGCATTCTCTAAGTGATTAGTAATCAATATCGTATCTGTACTTAGTACTAACCTTATTCTGGCAATCAATTAGCTAAATATGACCATCACTCTATGTGACCTGATATCTTGTGTATAGTTTTTTGATGTTATATGACTGAAGATAGTTGGGAGGAAAGTCAGCTTCAGATATTCCTTCCGACTAATTTTAACCACTTGACATAAATCGATTATATCTGTTATTCCAAAGTTCCGAATTAGAAGTCCCAACTTATATAAGTCACCTACATCACGTGTTAGATTTTTGTGTTTTTCTTTTTGGACAGCTTTTATAGTCTTATTCTACACCAATCACTATCTAACATTAAGATGCTTGGGTTGATTAACCTAGTTTAACCAATATTTTACTCATATTAGCTGTGACAAAACTAATTTAACCTCTCTATCTAAAGTCATAAGGTTCAATCTCTAATCTTCAATACAAGTCAGCAGTATTACAAAAGAATTTACAATCATAACTACATTGACTAAAAATTATAAATAGCGAGATATGTGGACAATGTTGTTATTACCATTATTTCCATTAAATAAGGCATAATATCTCTCATTGTTACAATGTGATTCAACTTATTGAAGATTTCCTCAAATGGATCAGAATAAGGATCAAAGCATTAAGAGAAGTATTTCTTGTTACGTTGTTTGTAAAACCTAATTTGAATGTTAATTTAATAGTCAATTGTTTAACATTAGACCAAATATTCATATTTCAAAGAGAAATTCTTTTCTGTTATATTCAAATATTTTGTCATCATAAAATCGGTTAGTTAAATGAAAAACAATGGAATGTTGGAAAAGTTGATCCTTTCTCAAATTAGACTATATAACAGCTTTTCATTGGTGGTGGCAACAGAGAGGAGATCAAAATAAGAAGAAATACTTGCACTGAAATGTGGACACATTCCTTTTTTTCGGAAATATTTAATTAATAAAACTGCATACCATTAGGTTTCTCTTAAATTCCTTTTTATACATATATACATTTATAAATAGATAAGTATTTATAAGAAGACCAAAGTGGGTGTAATTAAAAGTCGACAAGTTGACCAATAATTCGAAGTACATGAAAACCGGTTCCATTCACTTCTGGGAAATTTTTATTAATCATTAAATAGAGTTCCAATCTATATGCTTCCCAAAAGCAACCCCATATAAATCTCATCTTTCATAAGATTATAGATATTTGTTGATAATCTTAGGAATGTATTTGTTTTTCAATTCTAATTTCTATTTATTTGTACTATGACATATGGAAAAAAAAGGAATTTTAAGTAGGGAAATAAACGAAATGAAGCAACATTTATTTAATAAAGTGATTTTTTTCTTCTCGGTAATGAGAATTTACCCCCTAAATATGATCTGCTTCGTCGCATTTATGATTGTAACTATAGGGAGTATCAAGACATGCACTTTGAGTCTACATTATTGTGTAAGAAGAGGTTGATTGGAAATGAGAAGATAAAATACCTTATGATTAATAAATACCGATATTAGTTTGATTTAGAATTTGAAACTACACTAGAGGAACCCATTAGATTCAATGTAAAAAAATGACTGGTTCTGATGACATCGGTCGTCTAAAATAGTTTATCCAATTATAAAGAATAAGAAACCTACCAAACATGTGAATTAACTCAATCTGAGACGGCTTCTCAGCACAGAGAGATCAAATGTTCTCTATGAATACCAAAACAGTAGGAGCAGTAGTACCACTTGTAATAACGAAATGATGGACAAGACATATGAGTCAAGGGAAAATAAATTGGCATAATAAAAGGTATAAACTAGTCTAGAAACTCAGAATATGAGGAAAGACGAAGTGAATATATTCATACCATTCTGACCAATTTAAAAAAATGGTTACGTTAATAACAGAAACTCCAAACAAGAGCCGACTCCATGTACTGAGGTCATGCTTTAGATTGACTAATCCTATATATTTTTTAACCCATTCCAATTCACCACACATCAGTCGAGGTAGGCGTGGTTTAGAAATACGTAATGCATGTTCTAGTAGATGAAGATTTAAAGTCTAGCAATTTGCAATCTTTTCCTATTATCTTGTATTTCTCCATCAGATTGTTCACTCAGTTCTCAATCTAGACAGGTGATTATTTACGCTGAAGTCTTGGTTTTTCGTCAGTTCTTTTACGTATTTTGTCATCATTTTTATATTCCATTTTGTTTACAAGACCTGCTCGCAATTATGCCCCGTCAAAACGTTACTTTCCACAGAGACCCAATTGGATATTATGAATTACTATTCTGTGTCATCTATTCAAATGTTGCGAAACTATATTCATCCTAGTCACCTGTATGTAGGGGATACAGTTGACCGGAGATGTTAAGCTATTTTTGCAAATCGACGACTGTCAATCATCCTCATCGTCGGTTATTCAAGGAAACTTTTATTCTTTTCTAAAGACTTTTCTTCGATAAAAATTCTAATCATGCTATTCATTCTATATACTTCAACTTAATAATATCATATGTGAAGATTAATCTGTAAATGGTTATGTTATCGATTGATATCAGCTGACGTATCACTCAAAACTCGGATGTACAAAACAACTATTTCATCCTAGTTTGGGATACGTAAATTCAGTAATGTAATTAGTGGTAAACTTGAAAGGGTATTGGCACACTTTTGATTAGCTTAAAATGCATTCGATATCAATAAGATAAAACAACTTAGGCTTTAGAGATATTACTTTTCCATCACTTCTAACCATAATCTCGTCTCCTTTGAATTCCAGACGAGTGAGAACGGGTTGTATCTTGAAAGTTAAGTGATTGGGACTTTCGATAAACGTTTTTTCCATACTTCATAATACACTTCATGATTATGTTAAAAACATTTAGTGAACGTGAATGCAAAAAAATGTTTGTACCATCAGGGAGTTGGTTAAATATTGTTCGGATTACAAGCTAACGTATTACTGAAGCAAATGATAGTTGTGTAACATAATTGTTATGACTCGTAAGTTGAACGTTTTATTCGGATCCTAGCTATTCGGATAACCCCAGGCTAGCACTACTCAGCGACTTGGAAGACCAGAGAGAAGACACGAGTATCAGAGAAGCACTTTACTACAAGGTTCAATTATGTACAGGAAAACAGGGGTTTTATAGTAGCTAAAAGACCTTGAGATCCCATAGTAACAGTATGTTAACAGCCAATCAGGACCTTGTTATTTTAGTAGCATTTTAGTAGCATAGCTTCTAACTAATCGCTGATTGGTTGGTCTCTTTATGAGCCTCTCTGGAGGCTCTGATAGAGTTTATTGTAAGCCGATCTAACAATAATGTCGATAATTATAATTGGAGTGAAGATTAATAAAAATCTCAATCTACTATGGCAGTAATAGATTGATGACTGTTTCTTTCTGAATACATGAGTTTGGTCGGAATATTTTAATGGCAGCTACTTCAGCAAGGTATAAAAATAGTGTTCTTTCGTCTGTTAATTAAGTGACCATCTGAAACTTTATCTAACTACAAATAGCATATATGGGATAAATTGTGGTTGAATAGGCCATTAATATACACTCCATTTATTCAAAAATCGACAATTTGGAGAAAGAAGTGATCTTTTTTCTTATTAATCAACACACGTTGACCCTAATGATATCTCTTATGATTGAAATTCGATTGTTTTCGTACTATCACTTTTACTAGCGATACTATCCAATAAACGAAGGGTTGGGAAAAGTTGGTCGGAAAAAAAACATACTCATTACTGGTTGAATGTATAGTTTCATCGCCAATTCCTTAGATAAAGTAGTTTGAAAGATGTCAAAAGATTCTTCCGCACACAAAACGTAGTTTCTATCAATTACTAACAACCTAAAAATCAAGGGCTTTAGGTCGACCACCTCTATCCGTTGGGATGTTAGGTAGTTTTGGTTAGTTAGCAGGAAATCCTCAGCCTAGGTTTCGTGTTATTTGACATCCGTCAAAAAGGCGAGCTTTTAGTTTTGAGGACAGTGATATTCCTTGCAGGATCTGAATCCATGTCAGCTAGATTTACAGTCTGTAGCACTCACTAAGATGTCGTATCGGGGAATTTGGTATGACTGAATTCTAATCAGTAACCACTGTCATGTTTGTCTAGTCCTGTTATGTTGATATAACTCTGTTAGTCATATCCCAATTCGATTACCTCTATCTATCTAACATTAAATATAGTTCTTTATATCTCTGGTGAAATACTGAGAATAACTAACCATCACGACTAATACAACTGTTCTTTTACAAATAAAATAACGCAACAGCTACTCAACTTTTCAACCATGAGCTGATAAATGCAGAGCGAAATTCCAACAAATCCTGATACTTAAATAGATTTATTACCCAGACTCTCTTACAGAAAGAAATCGGAATTGTATACCTCGCTAACTTAAAAATTCGGCATTTTATGTTGTACACGAATTCTATTGTGAGTGTTAAAAACAAGTTTATCTTCACAAATATTGTAAAGTACGGTGTATTTTTTCAGAAGCATTGTGGGTCTCAAATAACAAAAGCCGTGAGAATCTGTTAAGTATATCAACTATACCCATAGTGGTAGTAGTAGTTTCCAGAAGACTAGAAAATCTAAGTTTGTCCAGTGTGGGTGATGAGTCAACAATAGTGTAGGTGTGAGAATGAGTGGTGTGTTGGGAATAAAATAACCGGTGTCAGCATATATATATATATATATATATATATATATATATATATATATATTCTGACACCTACGTTAAGACTAATTTTATTCGCTATTCACTGAAATACTAAGTTAAAGTATCGTTATATTTCATAAATATCGTTACCCACGCAAAATATATATTTTCTTTTATTCAATCTATGTACATGTTAGTCACCTGTTAGTTTTATTCGATTGGATGAAGCAATAATTTAATTGCACTGTAAGGTTAAAATAGTTGGATTCGGTCCAGAACCACTGTCGACTTTGGCTAAGTACATTTATAAGTTTTTTGTTAGGTTCAGAAACTCTCCTTGAAATTCAGTGTTCTTCATTTAATGTCGTACGTTGTTGAATATCTTATGTCACAATACATTTATAAAGAAATAGTAACCGTACCACAGAGATACATATTGTAATTGTATTTAATTAAATTGCTTTTATTACAGGACTGTAATCTTAAAGATATCATGGAAAATTGAAGTGAGAATTTTATTCACTACTCTTTATTGTTAAACGTATGACAACTGGTATACTGAGTTTGTTGCAGAGGGTACTTAGGTTTGATGTGAGTAGAATAATACAAATTAGGTTGACTTGAATAGTTTAACATTAGCTGCTTATAACCT